GGCCCAAGCAAGAAAAAAATCCCGAAACAGAGCAAGGAAAATAATCTGGTTTAACCCTCAACCTTATTTCTTGTTTAGTCGTTTATACATATATATATATAAATATAAATAATTATACCTCAAGATTTAGGTTACTTGAACTTTTACTGCAACTCTGAGTTTCATGCCTCTTGCGAAGCAATCGTCAGGCAACTCCAAAGATTGCTATGCAAAGATTGCATCTCTTTGTGGTATTTGATTACGGCCTGGCGCGAGCTATTATTTTCCGGTCACGGAAAACTCCGTTTCAGCATCCTTTAGGGACCAGATATATTTGCTCAACTCTGTTGCGTTCCTTTTGTTCTCATGTCGAAATGAAGCTGTATGATTTCTAAATCTTGTTTTAAATTGGTTCGCAGTAAGGCCGACGTACGTTTGGGTTCCCAAGGGACTTTCAACTGTGGCCTGGTAGACCACATTGTGAATTAGGCAATTGCCACGTAACGGGCAAGAGTGTTTGTCCCTACAATTGCATGATTTTTCTTGCGATTGAGAATTATTTGCGAGGGAGGACTTGTTGTGGGCGTCGATTTTTGTGGGCGTCGATCTTTGCATAGCTGAAAAATTCTTTATCATATGCAGAACAGGGGCGGGCACCCTAAACAAAAGGAACGAACTGGCGAGTGCGTGCCGGCACTCGATTAAATATTTGATAAGGCTGCTCAAACCACCTACTTAAACGGATCGTTAGTCAACTTGTGTCTTATCCACCTGACGAGAGAGGACTTTTAACCCTTTCGAAACAGATCTATAGTACCAAGTTTTAATTTTTGTTTTCCTAAATAATTGTTTACAAAGCTCCATATGATTGTAGAGCACTCTCCGATTCAAGGATGTTTTTCACATTTTTACATTTATATATATATTTTTACATTTATATATATATATATTTATTCCAGAGCTTGGCCCAGTGTCTGCACTGCACTGACGAGACCCACATAGGTCGAAACAGTGTGCACCCTGTCTGCAGTTATATATATATATTAAAATCAATTTTATATATATATATATATATATATATTAAATCAATTAGTTTCATACCACTTCCACGTTTTAAACATTTCCCCTCGCGGTTATTTTTCATCTGAATGTAGGAGACTGCACAAAGGTGTAATATCTCGATAGCCAGGAAGCATGTTTGACGAAGGACAAACATATCACACAACAGAGACAACAGGCGCAATGGGTAATAACATTACTGTTCCTGATAGTTAAAAACACAGCAACTTCGCTATTGGCTCGGACGTTCAAAAAGTTTACAGTTCAAGAAAAACGATGTTACCTTTTTGTTGTAATATTTGCCTTTCTTGAAATCCTTGCTGACGATCCTCACTTTTATTTGTGGATACAGCCAACACTTTGTTAGAGTGTTGCTTCCCTTTTGTGAACTTGGATTACTAATACCTTCTTTGCTCTTGTTGGTATATTTGCTGTCTTTGTACTTTTGACTGTAATCAGCCAAAAGAAAACCGTAAATGCTCTTATTAGATCTCAGTGACTCCCAGTGACTCCAGCCAGGTAAGAGGAGTGGGTTGAGTTACAAAGAGGGCGAAGCCTTATTAAAGTTGGGGGAATTCACTAAAAACTCATAGGTGGCCAAAGTGCTTGTAGAACAATTTGCGTTGTGGTTTTATTTGAGGGAGGTGAGGATAAAGAGGAAGTGACTGGGGGCTGAACTATAAAATCAGTCTGTGTAGGAGGTGTCAGTTATGCTGGTAGAGACTGAATGGAGGATCTTATTCTTTGTCTCCTTTCTTAGCCACTTCAGATCGTTTGAGGTAATCTGAAGAGATTATAGTTTACTATGATTCTAAATCAGTTTATGACTGAGATATGTACATCTACTAGGGCATTCTAACCTTTCCTTATCGTCATTCCTTGTTCTCTTGCTACTTGTGTGTCCTTTTTCTAGCTCGCGTCCATTTTGTTTTGGTTTCTCTGATAGAAATAAATTATGAAGATTTAAGTCACATATTCAAATAGTTGTAGAAAAATACCCCAATGGCTAGTATTACTTAATAAGTATTATTTAATTGGTGAATACACATCTTTCAGATATTGAGTAGCAATAGCGCACACAAGGACAGGATCTACCTTGCCCACCATTTTAACTGAGAAACAGAGGGTAGGCCATTTTTATCAGTTAATCAAGACAGGTAAAATAGTGCTGCATGTTGGTTTGTGTATCGCTTTAGAAGATCTTTAGTTCATGTAAGCCTTCATGGTCTTCACTGCAAGGTTTTATTTGCCCTCAGTTTGTTAGGTTACTTGCCACAGCATGTTAAAAGAGACAAACAAACAAAGTGCTTGTAGAACAATTTTCGTTGTGGTTTTATTTGAGGGAGGTGAGGATAAAGAGGAGGTGACTGGGGGCTGAACTATAAAATCAGTCTGTGTAGGGGAAGGTGTCAGTTATGCTGGTAGAAACTGAATGGAGGATCTTATTCTTTGTTTCTTATCTTAGCCACTTCAGATCATTTGAGGTATCAGATCGTTTGTCTTCACTGATTTACTGACTTACTCATGATACATGAATGCACAGTCAACACTCTGTAAGAGGGACGAAGTAGGAACTGAAAGTGTCTGTCACTACAGTGGATCATGTGGTCTAAACTATAATATCTGTACTGCTTTTCTTAAAAAGAATGACCTTTAATTTCCCAATAACACTGCCAAGAAGCAATGTTGTAGGTGTGGTCAGAGCAGATTGATGAAAAGTGACCGAAGTTTTGTTTTACCAAATCCCCAGTAAGTAGTGCTATCAGAATTCTCACCTTGTCTTGACAGTGCCCTATAATCAATATCATTTACAAGTCTTGCATTAAACTGGTGTAAGGTGATATTCTACAAGAAAAAAAGGATTTCATATCTTTTAAGGTAGCTATACAGTGGATGATCCTACAACTCATCTAACGATTTTTCTAATATTCTACCTCAGTTCACCCTTAGATGTGATAAACCAGTAAGTTCTCCCCATAAAATCAATCCAACAAACAGATTATGCAAATGAACAAACTTATTTATTAGAAGTTACAGTCACTGTAGTTTATATAATAGAAGTAGCACCAAATTATCTTGTTGTCTAATTTACAAGAAAACGTTAAGCTGCTTAACCCTTATCATGCTGAGTTCGAGTTCAGGTTACAATTCCCTAAACTGACTTTACTTTTAGTAACGCACTTATGCACGGCAGTTGATCCTTTCATCAGCAGTGAAAGCTTTAAATTTCATCAAATCTCAACAACCTATATATCAAATTAAAGCTTAAGAAATTGCCTTTCTGATTATTTTATTACAATAAACTTTTAACCTATGTTGCTTTTAAAATTTTAGCTATGAAATCATGCTTTTGGAAAAACTTGACAAAAATTATACATTAACAAAAACCAAATCATATTTAATTTCTTCCAAAAATTATCTGTACAAGCCTAAAATGGCAATCAGAGTTAAGCCCTAGTCCACCAGCTTAATAAAACAATTCCTGTGACTCTGACAGCATTTGTTTTTCTCAATACAGTAGCAAGACTGCATACTTGTCAAGTCAACATATAATCAAAATTAGGAATTTATGTACATTGTTTGGTTTTGAATTAGTTTAAAACAGTCAGCTCAGTTGTTAGGGTCTATGTTGTAAATTTATCTATTTCTGTGTTTGAATTGACTTCAAAACCTAACAAAACCAAACAAAAGATGAATAATGGTTATGATCAGTTAATCAGTTAGTTTCAGCATCCTCATTGTCATTATTGGCATCGTGTCTCCGAATGTAGGCAGCAACATAGTCCTGAACATTGTGGAACAACTGGAAGCAGTCCGGTATACAGAGGGCTACTTTACAGACACTGCACTGAAAGCTAGACTCTTTTCCTGGCCTCTTCCTTTTCTCTCCTGCCCTTTTTAGGATCTTCTTTTGGGTAAGAAAGGAAACCACACATGCCCGGGTGATGTTGGACTTCTTCCCAGTGCCCAATATTTTCTCTGGGAAGTGACCTCTAACTTGAAGACGGGTTAAGCCTTCGGCTGACCTCCTTGGGCGGCCTCTCGGAGTGAGAGAATGGGAGATGCCAGAATTCCTAACAAGCTCCTTCACAAGCTCCCTTCCAAAGGTCCTTTGTAGCACAGGTGACCGGGTTCTTTGCTCGTACAGGATGTAAGCATTCCGGATGCTTAAGGAAAACAGGTGGAAGAACACTTTCTTCCACCATTTCATGGTGCGTCGCCTGAAGCTAGAATAGGCCACCATCTGATCACACCAGTCTGTCCTGTCAACTGCTCCCATGAACTTGTTGTAGTCATGGATAATCTCAGGTTTAGTTATTGGGCGGCCAGTTCCAGGGTGATTTCGGCCAACTTCTACATCCGCAACAGAATGAACTGATGACAGCATCTGGAAAACTCTGTGGTCCTTAACTTTAACTGCCAGCAAAGTTCCATTGTTCATAACATACTTGTCACCTTTTTTTTTTCCCTTGTGCCCTTTTAAATTGCTGGGGGATACCTTTCCTGTAACGGGCTGTTCCACAGGCCCCAGTGTTCTGCCTATAGAGCTCAGCAAATAAAGTAGGTATGTGTAGTAGTTGTCGACATACAAACACCTACCCACATTCAAATAAGGTTGCATGAGCCTCATGACTAATATTGGCCGCCATATTTGTTTATTAGTGTTACCATGCAACAAAATATATTTCATGCTAATTAACTCTTTTATTCTATTCGGGTCTTCGGAACTCTGTCAGATGCTTAATTTATGTCCCTTGGGTTGGCCTATGACCATAAACCTGTATAAGCCCAACATATTCCGAACTTCTCCACCAATAAAACGATGATGTTCAGAAACCCGGAATATTCCGGGACCTGTCCACATGGACGAAAACGTGCGCCGGAATATTCCAGGAACCGCACGATAAGGGTTAAGGTGACAAATCTTGATCTGATGTTGGTAATTAAGGGGTTAACTACTGGAAAGCTTACCAGGTCTAGCTTACGGAACTTGGCACAACAACTAACCTCTTTACTTAACTGAAGTTGGACGGTAATTCTGCATGTATCAACATCTACAGCTACAATCTAAAAAGACAAAAAAGCATACTTTATTTCTGATCAACCGGAGTACAACTTGTCCTTCAATACAATTGGCCAAGCAAGTGTCATCTTGAAAACAACTGTTGTTGCTGACACTTACTTTTGACAACCTACACATACAATTGTAATAAGAAGTCATCACCAGAGTTAAATCAAGAGCTGTATGTCAGGAAAATACTTCAATTCTGATTGGAGACTGCCTGGTCAGTTTTATCAAGATTTCAAAATGTTGCTACTTGTGCATTGAATAACACATTATTTTTATAATCCACAATCACCTTTCCACACATATCTTGATGAGGACCCTTCTCAATTACAACTCCTGTGCCAGGTCTGTAATCTAAGATCAGAATATGTAACCTATTAAACTTGACACAATAGGACACACAAACCAAAACAATGGTTAGCTTGTAATATATGACTTGATATCAAGTTACAGAAGTCATCTGGGTATTGGTCAACTGTTGGTGAACTTAACAAGAGGTTAAATTAAGGAGATAATGGCTGATAGACAGTCCGAAGGTTTTTTAAACATGCCAGGTGGCCTTACACTGCCAAAGCTTATTCCAATTTCCATGAAGTGACTAGGATAGCTACTACTTCCGGGCATTTTTTGCTGGTTCCACTGTCATTTTGGGTTAAAAGACACTTTTAATGATGATCGCAATCCTGTAAACAGAATGCAATGACTCTGACCATGATTCCAACCTACATAGTACAAAAATCAATCTGGATTTCACTGCACTAGCCCTCAAGGCTATGCACCTCACCTACATGTAGTTACCAAATGGGATCTACCCATAATTTTACAGAGCACTTGGTCAGTGACAATTATACTTTGAACGATGCAAAAATAAATTTGCCACTGGTGAAACTACAACATCAAGATAATGACAGCACAAGATAAAATAGCAGGCTATTCATTGGTGAATATGCACTGATTATATGTAAGTTTTATTGTTTTTAAAATAATTACCTAAAGATGATTCTTGAGGGACTGTCTCTCCTACTCCTTTAAAGTGTCTGACACGGCCATCCTTTTCTTTAATAGCACCAGAACTCTATTAAAGCACAATGTTATAATAATAATAATAACAATCTTTTATTAGGAAGCTCCATCACTACAGTGGTTTACATCCATAGAGGTCCTAAATACTAGATGTGTATTATATAAAAATACAATTGAAATATAAAAATTTTAGCTAAAATCGAAATATAAAAAACTATTACAACATATACACTGCAAAGATTTATTTAAAAAAAAATTCTTAATTATAAAAAGCACAAAAGAGACACTTCTTAAAAATTGGCAAGCTTACTGAGTTTCTTACAGTTCTCTCCAACTCATTAAAGTCTTTGAAATAGTGATACCACGAACGATGTTTTCCCCAACTGTATTTGATTTTGGGAGCTTTATAGTATCGTTATTGCGCATATTGTAGGAGTGCATATCACTCTTTCTTACAATGTCCAAAGAATGATTAATTTTACCATTAATACACTTGTGTGCATATATACATCAATGACATTTTCTACGTTCTTCAAGATTCAGCCATCAGTGGATGAGGAGTGAAGTGATCTATCTAATATCAACTTAGCTGCTTTGTTTTTCAGAATTTGCAATTCCTTCATTAGTGTGACATTGTCCTTGTCACCCCAGACTAAATCAGCATAATCAAAAATAGGTAGCACTAATTAGCTATAATTATAAAAAAGTAACTGGGCATTATAAGGTAAATAATACTTAATCCTACATAAAAGACCAAGGTTCTTATTAACTTTACATGAAATAATTATAATAAAGCTTATTAAGCTTACATGAAATATAATGTTATATAGATTTCATAGACTGAAGAAAATACTTTTACAATTTCTGAGAGAACAGTACAGTGCAGTATCTTTTTTGCAAGTGTATTAAATCTCCACTATGTGGCTCTTTTGATATAATTTACAAGGGAACTTTGTACAGACTGCACTGGCCAGACTGCACTGAGCAGTTTACATTTTTTGAAGAAACTTTTGCAGATGCCCCTAATACATGTATTAGAATCAAGGTCAGACCACAGCACATCCACCTCCCACACAGTAGTCCAATGCTCTACAACATGAGCTAACCAGGCCACAGTTGCCTGACTTGATTTTCTTGAACTTTTTATGACAGTGAGTATAAATTAACAGATACAGCTGTAGAAACACTATGAAAAAATTATAAGCAAAATATTGAATGGACCATCATAGCACTAAATGTAATACTGTATCTAAGAGATGCTAAAGAGGCTGAAATTCTTTACATATAAGTATATATGTTGTAGTTCAATTTTACCCTCGGTTCAGATTTTATTTTCCTCTGTTTCAAACTCATTATCATACATTAACATGACCAAGAACAAAGGAAGATAAAATCTGAACTACAACATATACATTACCTTTTCTGAGACTGAGTCTCCTGGTTTACGCTTCCTCCCTGGTATAATGTCATCTAGGACTCTCCTTTCAGCCCCCAGACCTAAACCCTTAGATCTTGGAATATATTCTATAGGTTCTGTAAACCTAAAATAAATGGTAAGTAAAACATGTCATCACAGAGTTAGAATTTACAAACCTTAAGGTTTACTGTCAAATTGACTTAGTAGTGTTCTGGATTTTCCTTAAGTTCTGGGGAGTGTGGTGTCTTGAAGGCTACAGAGTAGATATACATGTATTAAGTTTATTACTAAGTTTGCCATAACTTTGATCTATAGCTGTTAATGTAATATTACTGGCTACTTTCTTATTGTACTTCTGTACATCAGTGACTATTAGTGCTTTTTGCAACAAAGATACAGCAACACTGACAAGACAGGGACGATGTTTTTTTTAGTTCCAAAAAACACATCCCCATTTAAAAATGTACTTCACCATTTTAAAATGTACTTGACATTTTAGGAATCTTAGTTCCTGAATGAACCAATCAGATCTCAAATACATTTTTAATGAGATCTTTGGGAAATAAGTTACTGTATCAACCAATCAGATTTGGGTTTGTAATATGAACCTTACTCTTCAGGAACTAAGTTCCTCAAATAAACAATGACATGAAAGAATATATGCCATGTCATTGCTAAATTAGGATTTGTCTGTTTTATTTAAGTCAACACTAGATAAAACAGATAACAATAGATGGGACATTCTGGTAAGCTAAGTGCAGTAATGTTTCACATCAAACTGGATGCTATCTTTAGTAAAATATATATTCTTCTTTGAGGCTTTACTATTTTTATTTAGCCCTC